AAATCATACTTTTGTTTCTAATTTCAGACAGTTAATTCAAATAATACACAGATAAGGCATTTATTTTTTTCATATATACTTTATCTGCCTATTTATCCAGTTTTAAACTTCGGTTTGATGTGATCGCTCAAATAAAACGAGCACCGATCAGTGAGAAACTGTCAACATTTTTGGACAGCACAACATTGTTTTGGTTTTTAAGTGACATTTTATTTTAGCAAGCAAAAAACAAACAATCAAATAATAAGAGTTTATACTAATATAAATGGAATCAACTTTACAGTAACTGCAAGATTTTTAGCACCAGTCCAAGAAATAAACATGTTTAAAATCTTTCTTCCTTGTTGTATTTTTGCTACTTTGTGCTCAAATTTCAAAAATGTGTGTTAAATGTAGCAACAAACTGTTGCTACATTCCACTACAGATTGTCATCAGGACAGTTTAAAGCCAGAGCTGCTTACATTTTCATCAAACTTCAGGAAACAGACAGAAATTAGGAGCAGCTGCTGTCAGGGACATTCAACACATTTAAAAGGGCCAATATTATGTGTTTCTCAGGTATATATTTAAATACTATACCATAATAAAGTATCTATGTCACTTTTAGCTGTTATTAAAATGCTGTTTTTATGTTTAAATAGAAAATAAACTTATCTTCTTAACTTATCACTTCCTCTTCTAAACGCCTTGAAATTGGCCTGTCTCTTTAAGGACCTCCTTCCGCTTCTGTCCCACCCATTTCAGTGCGGCGGGGGGTCATGCGCGCGCTATGATGCTGTTTACTTGGCATCTGAAAATGCATTTCCTCAAAGGTATTTTGAATCTGAAAAGAGCTTCGCTGAGTGAGAAGTAGTGTTGAGAGCTCAGCAGACAGTTAGGTTTCACTTTCACTTTATTCTGTTACTGCCGAGAGTCTGCAGGAGTCATGGGCGTTCCTCCAAAACCTCCAGATCTGGTCCACTCAGTTCCTCCAGATCTGGTCTCTTCAGGTCCTCCAAAACCTCCAGATCTGGTCCACTCAGTTCCTCCAGAACTGGTCTCTTCAGGTCCTCCAAAACCTCCAGATCTGGTCTCCTCAGTTCCTCCAGAACCTCCAGATCTGGTCTCCTCAGTT